AACCAACTACAGGATGAGATACTCCTAAAGTTATACAGAGACAGTGACATGGTTGTTGCATCAGAAAGTGCAAAGCCATCTTTTTATTTCAGAAAAAGGAAGTTATTGTTTTTGTTTTGTAAGATGGACTGGAAGGTCAGTTTGTCCACAAACTCTAGCAAGGGTCCTAGAGACCTCAGAAGGGGGAACAACCAAGGCATCTTTCCTATAGTTTGGCCATTCCAAAGCTTTATGCAGTTGTCCCTGGTATCTATTAAAAAAAAACAAACCCAGAGCATCAGACTGCTAAGGAGTTCCATGTGAACTTGTGGTCATTCCAATGTGAAGTCCACAGCCCAGCTGCGCAGGGCTACCCTGAGTGGGAATGCAGGCCAGGGGTGCTCTAGCTGACCCAAGAGATCGGAATTTTATGAAATCAGTCGTAGCTTTACAAAATCATTTTTTTTAAAGAATTGACTTTTATTAAAGTTCTCTATTTTAAAAAAGTACAAACAGTGCTGTGTAATCAGCTGTTCTGTTGGAATTAACAGGGCTAAGAAAAGTCTTTGGGACTTGTGGGCTGGAATGTCAGCTCATGGTAAGTCTGTTTGGTGACTGAGAGTGACTGCCGTGATTCTTAGGGAAGCACTGAATCCACAGATGTGAGGCCCAGGGATCACAGCTGTGCATGGTTTTAGTCTTCCCTAACCTCGCCATGATCAGATGAACTGCACTGGAATTCACATCAGTTCTATATAACTGACTTTACTCACATGGAACCCAGACAGCTTTTTGCAACTTTCTAGAACTTTTTTTTTTAACAGCAGAAATGTGTTCATGTTCCCTAGGTCTGCCACATCAGCTCAAACAGGACCTGACAGGAACGCTGGCAGTTCGGAGTGTTTCATAACTGAAGGCTCAAGCGGCTTAAGGAAAACCATTAAAAAAAATTTCCCAATGCTCCTTGTCAAGCCAGCATGTCATCCAGAATGTCCTTTTCCTCCCCTACCACGGTCACCCCTCACGGTACCTGTAACTCTCTTGGGCATCATACTGTCCGGCCCCTTACTCTGTCCAGCTCATGATCATGGTCGTGCAGCTTGCTCAGTGGGGAAACAGGTCCCCTGCCTTTGCAGACTATGAAAACAAAACAGGAGACGTGTGATATGCACAGAAGAAATAGGCTGGCCAAGGTGTGAAAATGACTGTCAGATGGTGTCAGATGCGAGGTTTTCATAACAAGACTTTCACTGAAAGCCCAGCAAAACGCCTACTTCCCCTGCTCACAGATGCTGGGGGGGAACTTTGATGTTGGTTGTTTTGTGACTTATCATCCATCCACCCATCCATCTGTCCATCCACTCCTCTACCCACTCACCCACCCATCCATCTACTCATTCACCCACTTACCCATCCATCCATCCACCCACCCACCCGCCCACCCATCCATCCATTCATCCATCCAACCATCCATCCATCTACCAATCCTCAGCTGCCATACTTCTCAGCAGGAGGTCACAGAAAGAAAAGAGCAGAACCTTTGGGCTTCCAGGGTTCGGTGGATGGTCTGGCTTGTCCCAGATAACTGTGAGTCATTTGCAGTTAGAGAGAGGAACAGGGCTTCTCACAGTTGTTGAGAAGCTGATGACTGTTGTTGCCTTTGGTGGGTGTTTTCTGAGGAGCAGCAAGACTGTGTCCCTGGCAAAAGCTACCCTCTTGAAGACCAGCAGATGGTGACTTCCATTTGCACCAATGGCCTCCCATGCAAAGCTTCTGAAATGTCACAGCCTTATCTCCCTACTGCTACATTCCTCCCAATGCAACAATATCCTACTCTTCTCTTTCCTGTCTGACTTCAGCCTTCACCCACCTCTCTCTTCTTAGCATGTCAATGCGTGGCTTTCATGAGGATACCACTCTCAACCAGCAAGTCACCAGCATCAGTTATAGCTTTTAGTTCACAGAAGTGATTGGCAATCCTTGGTGTTTATCCACCAATATTCCTGGGCTAAACTTCCAGAGAGCTCTTGAGCGTCCTGAATTTTCTACCAAGATTTGCAAAGAAAAGTCTAATATATTTCATTAAGAAAGGCAGAATGTGATCAGCTTCAACTAGGCTGTAGGACTCCATGTTGGAAGTATAAAGGATCAACCATCTTGGTTCCTAGGGTTACCCATCTACCTTCTGCATCAGTTCCTGCCTGAGTTGGGTCTTCCATTAACCTCTTGGGCACTGCACCTGGCAGCACAATTCAGCAACTTCCATTCAAATCAAGCACTAGACGTCTCTAGATGGACTGCCCATAGCAGGGCTGTCAGCCCACTGGCCTCTGGCCATGGAGGGAGGCGCTGCAGCTGAGCACTGGCCATCTTCCAGTGGAAAATAACACAAAACATTCTGAATGGTCTTTCTGGGTCACAGCCTAAGGGGTCCTGTGGAGACTCGGATTGTGTTAGATTCTCCTCCACAGGCCCAAGCAATGCAGGCTGTGGTCAGTTGCAGGTATTCCTACAGTTTCCCAGAGAATGAATCTTTGAGGCTAAAGCTCCTGCTGCCAACCTCCCACATAGCTGCTGAAATTCAACCAGCAGTCCTTTTCTGGCCACTCCATTTCCCACCAGGCCCTTGGAGTGGAGGCAGTGGTACAGAACGTTGTCCATCATTTGTATAGCGAATGGTGGAGAATGGTAATGCACGTTAGCCATGCAGCAGTAACTGTCTTAGAGCTTTAAATCATCAGCCCTAGTTTAAATTTCAGGGTCGGCAATGCACAGAGTAGGCTACAATAGGAATACTTCCTCAGGCCCCGTTTTTAAATATTTATTTATTTATTTTTAACCATTTCCTCCCCCATAGTCTGTCCCTTGAGTCTGCTGTTCCTCATGAAGGGTCATTTCTTTCAAAATGTTGTTTCACATTCTCTTAGGATACAGGTCACTGAACGGTAGAATTTGTTTCCTAGGAACTTGGAACTCGGTGTTGGCTGTCAAACTGCTCCCCGCTCCCCATATAAACCAATACAAAACCCAAGACTGCAGCTTGCTTGAAACAAGCTGGACATACTGCGACAAGCGGTCCACAAGCCCAGGTGCTCTTCTGGGGTTTGGTTCACTTCGCTCCTCCGTTGGGGACCAGCACTGTTCCTAGTTCATCTGGGGCAAGAGAATAGCCCATTTGTCCCCTAGGCTCATTCTCTAAGTCAGTTTCTTTACTGTCCCACCAAATGTGGCGTTCTGATGTGGACATATCCCCAGAATGTGCTGTGACAAGTAGCACTTGAGCAACCAGTAAATGAACCCTTTTTGAATTTAGAAGTCTAGAGTTGCTCAAATACGGCAGAAGAAACCACTCTGTTCTGGTCTGGCTCATTCCCTACTTCACCTTCCAATACCTCTGTGCTTCTCGCCTCAAAGACCTTCGATGGTTGTATGTTATGTGAACTTCAGGCAAACAGCCCGAGAGTGACACTGAGAAGAACTTAACTTGGCGGTGCTTTGGGGAAGGGAACAGAGCAGCTTGCTAGAAGGACAGATAGTGACGTTTCACTTGGAGGCCTAGCTCCTCCTAGGAACCTGCACTGGGAAGGGGGTGTTGCCAAATTAGTGCTCATCACAAGACTGGCATGGTCAATTTTAGTGACAGGAGATCTGAATACTATGAAGAGAGTCTGTGGGTTGCTGTAGAGAATGGCTGTGTTTCAGGGACTGACATATAGCGTGTTTCACGAAATGTGTGTGTGTGTGTGCTGGAGCAAACAGTGGGGCAGCAAGATGGATCGTGTGCTTCTGCTGTGTTCAAGTACACAGAACAAGAAGGGGATCCCCCCAGTCCTCTTCCCTGAGACAGAGTCTCCAACAGTCACAAGCTGAGAAAGAACAACTCTTTCTCTCCTCCCCCCCGCCACCCCAGATGCTGTAAGAATACCATACATGTTCACAAACATACCAGAGATATTAGAATCCCCAGGAGGAAGAGTGATGGAGGAACTCAAATGGAGAATGACATTAAGAAGCTAAGAGAGTCTCATCTCAAAAATAATCCCCACAAACAAAATTTTGGTTTGCAGGTAGAATCATATATATATATATATATATACACACACATATACACATATATAGTAAAAGCCTAATTAAACATGTAAAATAGTCATTCATTTTTGAAATTAGATCTACATTAAAAAATTAATATATCTGATACAGTGCTGGGGGGAGGGGAAGAGAAAGCACAGCAGCATATATTAAGCTAAAACTTAATCATAATAGTAGATTGGAAACATGAACCTTCACAAATATAGCACAATTGTGTCTTATAAAATTATTATAATACTCTTTATATTTGATGTCATTATATCAATAATATAGATTCACTTGTTATTAAGGTTTATTATAAACATGCAAAATCCATTGCATGATGCATTTGCAAATATTAAGATTCTTCTAGCAAGAAAACATCCTTGAGCTGATGAGCATCCAAGTGTCTCAAGTATACAGTTCCAAGTGTGTCTTTCAATAGGAGCTGGTAGTGGGAACCACATTGTATTATTTTTATCCCTAAGTGGATATCAAGGGCTAGAGAAAGGAGGCAAATTAACCAATGGGGACAGATGCTAGAGTCAATGCTTTAAGTTACTGTACATCGTACTTTCATAAACGACACTGCAGCTTATTAAATAAATAAGTACAAAAGGGGATGGGGGCGTACACATCAGCTTCTTAGAAAGGGAAACAACATAGGTAGCAAAATATTGTGTGTGGGGTTGGGGGTTGGCTAACGACACTCATGGGTGGTGGCATGGTTACTAATGGCACCCTGGATTGAAGAATAATCTCCCAGAGATTAAAATGAACATACATACACATTGGGTTCTTTCCTTGATCTGAAATGATTTCACTGGTTCATTTAGAAAAGTCCTTAAATGATTTGGCCTCTTAAAAAGAATGCAAATATTGAGACAGTTATCAACCAGATAGGGTAACAGATGACAGTGTCACCCAATAACACTCATCTGAAGTTCTCTTGCTTTTTTTTTTTAAACCACTGGATTATGGTTTCATTATGATGTTTGAGAACAGTGATTAGGTCCATCCTGGTCTCTCAGATTCACGGGGCTTTCCATTGACATAAAGAACAGAAGCAGTGGGTATCTTGAAGCTTTTCCCATCCCCAATCCCTCTTTGCTCATGCTCTGGGCTCCCCACTCTTTCGCTCCAAAGGTTTTGTGGGTTGGAGAAGTTTCTAGTCCATTGGACGAGGGCAGGTTTACTTCAACATCTCTGGTTTGGGGAGCCTGATGGTGAAAATCCACAAATAGAGAATATATCAAATCGTACCAAAAAGGGGGTAAGAGTCTCATTTTCTAGGAAAGGTTAATCTATAGTCAGATGTGACATCTACATAATTAAACTGGACACTGTACATTATGTCATCTTCCACTAAGGTAATGTTCTTGGTTGTAAGAGAGAGACCCTGAAAAGTTGATCACATGTAGACTAATTACCCTACAATTTTCAGGCCTCCATGTGGAGTAAGACATAAGGCCATGGCCTTAAAAATGTTAGGGTCAAGGATCTTTCCCCACTGCTGGGGAAGCTGAGGGGGAGGGAAATGTTTGCTTTCACGTGAGTTTCATACCGCACTTTGCAAGATAGGGTGCACAAACTGGGGGTTAACATATGAGAACCCTTCGAAATCAGACTGGTCTATGTTAGCAATGACCAGCTGATCTGGCGGTGTTAAGACAGGTTGCCCGCGTGTGAAGAATTTGTCAAAGTTTTCTGCTCCTTTGCCACACTGTAGAGAAAGAAAAAAAAAAAGAGAGTTCAGTAAATATTCTAAACCATAGGGAGCAGCTCTCTGAGAGCACTTGGTGAGGAAGGGCGTGGCTGGGGAAATTGGGACAGGTTAGGCGGGGAAGAATCTTGGAAGACTTGCAGGCCTATTGGAACCAGAAGCCAGGCACAGCAAACAACACAGGGGCTCCGTGGTAAATATTCGCATACCCTCAGAATGAAAACTTCAGATGGAAATTCACTGTTGGCAAGAAGGTAGCCATGGGGAGACAAGCCCTTTTTACTTCGCTTTCTCCTCACTGAGCAAGCAGAGCTATGCACATGAATGTTGCACGCACAGGGCTATGGTCATCGCTCCATGTTGAAAAGGCCAAGTTGTTGGCTGAGATTTCAGGCCCCCACCCCCAAACTGAGAGGGTGGGGTCACTGCCCAATTTTACTTCTTTGCAATAAAATCTGTAACGAAGCAAAAGTGGTATATCTTTGCCATCCAACCAGGATCTCTGAACAATACTGGGTAAGTGTGGTGGCAAGGGTGGAAACGGCTCCCAGGCCCAGCTGCAATTCTGGACATCTAGAGAGAACTACTCAACTGGCAGACAGGTCAACATGGAGCTCATTTGCAGGTGATCTCAGGCTGGAGGGGGTTTGCACAGGTGCTCTGCTGTAGCTGGGGAGAAACTGTAAAGCCTGCTGTCTGCTTTGAATATTACTATCCCTGAGCCTCCATAGAGAACTCTGCGCAAATGAAGGCTTCTGGCAGAGCTGCCTGTGACACTCTTAGAAATACCGTATACAGCTGTGAAGTAGCACTGCTTGTGAGTTGGGGACACCTGTCCCCCTCACTTTTTCCAGCCACCCAGAAGGGCTATGGCATATCAAAGTCTCTAGGACCCCAGGGGGACTCTGAGACAAGAAAAGCTGCAAGTTCTATTGGCATTACTAATAATGACTTTGGTCTTAGAACAGATTATTGCCCCTTTACCTGCTGCTAACACTATAGGGACAAAAGGTACTAATTCTGAGTTTGCATAATATGAACCCTGCCAGGCATTCTTGGATTTGTAACAGAGGACAGCTCTAGGTCATCTGAGAAGTGCAGCCCACCCAATTTTCTCATCAGAAAAGCAGGGAGAATAGCGTTATCTCCTTCCAAGGCTTATGTTAGGAAGGTTAAACATGCCACTTCATGCAGAGGCTAGCACCTGGTCAGGGTTCAATACACAATGCCGTGCCTGTTTTTATAGAAGACCAGGTCTATATCCAGGCTATGCTTGCTGGTCTCTTCTTTCACCTCCTTTCTATGGCTTCTAGAAGTTTCTAGAGTTTCCAAGTTTTATCATCACTTGCCCACCTTCTTTTCATCAAACACAACTTTTTCCTAAGAACCTGTTGAGTTGAAAAGCATGTCCAGAATTCAACGTAAGGTCTTCATAAACCACAGCTTTCCTTTCTGAGTTATTTTATGATTCAACCATCCACTCTGAACTTGAGGACACTTCACACTATAGTGAATGGGTGTGTGTGTGTGTGTGTGGGCAGTGAGCAGCAGGAATTTGGGGTGTGGGGGTCCCACACTCTGTGGAGGCCCACCAGTCCTGCCTCCCAGCATGGGGACAGCAAAGCATCGCTCTCATACTCCAGGTTTCCATGATGCTTTTCCGTGAGGAGCACAAAGCACTTCAAAGCAGAGGCAGCAGAGGCAGAGCCTAATTTCACACCACCCCTCATGCAAGGCACTTCTGAACCACTGGAAAAGCTCTTCGTGAAATAAATAAGGGTGCAATGTTTCTTCCCAGGACTTAACTAGGAGTCTGTATCTGATTCATCACTTAGATAAACAAGCAAATGGAAACCGATCTCCCCTGGGTATCATACTCAGGTACTGCTCTGATGATGAAGAGCTACAGAAATAGCCCTCTTTTCAGTATACCAGTGGGAATATGTGGCCCTCATGGGATCTGTTTTTTTACTGTCATGACTTGGGTCAGGGGCGCTCCTGGCACTTAATGGATAGAGATCAGAGATGCTCATAAAAATCCTAACGTGCACAGGACAACACTCCCTCCCAAGGAATTATTGGCTCAAAATGTCGATTGTGCTGCTGTTGGAGACTCTGGGGCAGATCCAGACTGCTATGTGAGGATCGTTCCATCCTCAGGTCAGTGTGAAGGTGAAGGTGAGGGCCAAACAAAGGAAACTGGGAAGAGGCAGCCACATGTGAGGAGAGCACAAAGCAAGAGCAGTGTAAGCAAATATATCCTCAAGTTTCAGCACCCGATGAATGGATGTCCATTGCCTGGAAGGATGCAAGTGTTGGCACTCCCAGAGGCAGGGCCATGTGCCTCCCAAATGTGACATCATTTGTGTTTCTCTGGATACTCATCAACGACACGAAGAACAAGGGGAATTTATGGGAAGAAGAACAACAACAAAATAACGTATTGCCCCATAAGGAAGGGCATAACTAGCTAAGGTAGAATGTTCTCTCTGCTCTGGCTAGACATCCACTTGGATAGCTTTGGATGTATTGATGTGGTTCTGTGAAAAGTCTGCACGGGCGTGACCCTTTCCTTTGAATCCTGTCTTTATGGCACTCACAAATCAGTTTCCACTGGGAAAGTTTCCAAAAGCCATGGCTTTACTGCCAAAGGAAAAATGAGAATACCAAGAGGAGAGCAAAACCAAGAGAACTCTCCAAGAGGAGAGTTCTTGAAGGTTGAAAAAGGGGAGAGGATAGGGATGGATTCTTGGAGGACAAGTTCCACAGCTGAGGTCCCAAGAAGGGCTGGTTCCTAAGGGCCTCCATGGCTTATAGAGCTGAGTATTGTAACGAAGGGAGAAACAAACCTGTTTGGTGGAAGCCTCATGCCATGACTGTGCTCATGACAGCAGAGCTAACTAAGGAGAAATCATGGAGCCCAGACCAATCTCATCTACTCTCTGTGATCACACTGAATGGTAATGTGACGACGTTAGACTCAAAACTGGAAACACTTTCCTCTCCTTTCTCACTCTAAATTTCCTTGGAATTTTCCCTGACTCAGACAGAGAAGTCACATTTTGGCAAAAGGAAGTATTTCTTACACTGGCTCACTTAGGAAGAGAGACCAGAGACAAGGACAATATAAGGACAAAGAGTAAAAACGAAACCACTCATGTTCAGACATCAACCGTGGGACAAAGGGGCTGTTCACGTAGGTTAGCAAGATGCACAGCGGGAAGTCATGGAAAGCCTGGGGGTTGAGTCCCTGCCCCTCACATAGGAACAGGAGAAGCATGATTCCTCCAAGTCCACTCCCATAAACAAACTGCTTATTTTTCTACTATGAAGTGTTGCTCAATGTTTTAAAAAAAATCAGTCTTCTTTCCACACTTCTTAGCAAAAGTAGATCCAGAGATAGATAATCTCCTCCAGGCAACGCTGGAGGAGGTGTTGAACTACTTGTTTTTAAAGATAACACCATCACCACTACCAAGCTCAGGAGAGGATCATGAAACCCAGAGCTCCCTAGATCCTTGGGAAAAGACAGACAAGAGATTCAAGAGCCATTGCATTCTCAATACAGGAAAGGGTCTGCCGTCGCCGAGGATCCAAACCTGCCACCATCAGCTTGGTGGAGAGTGAGCTTCGGGGACTATTTGGATTGGAGTAGGAAGCAAGAAGAGGCACAGAGACAAAAGGGTCAAGGGATCGCCTGGTAGGACCTGTGGATAAGTGAAGAAACGATGGCAGAGGCCCTCACAACCTCTCCGGCAATGGTGGCTGTTTGTGACAACCCGATAGCCTGACACCTGTGTCTCTGAGAGCTCTAGGCCATCAAGCACACAAAACAGCTAAAATGGGTTGTGAGCAAACCCCTAGGATGGGCGTACCCAGTCTTCAACTCCAAACTCTACCTGTACCTTTCACCAGTTGAGGCGTCTGCCAGTGGAGATATGATGCATGGGGCAAGAGTGGAAGAGAAAAGGGCAGCAAAAGGCAGGACAGATCTGACAGAGCCAGGCAAGGTGGTCTAGCACCAGATGGTATTTTGTGCTCACTGTGCATCCATGACACTTGAGGGAAGACAGGAGCCGAGAAGGAGAAGAGGCCAGCTCAGAGAGGTCTACAGCCCCAGGCCATAGTTTTGGGAAAGCCATGGCATCTACTTGTGGATGTTGACCACACACCTTCCAGGACTGTTATGAAGTGAGAGGGAACTAGCGCATGAGAGGCCCTTCTGAATGATGTGTCAGGAGAGAGGTCTCAGGTACAACACACATAGCAAGTGCTTGACAAGTCAGAGGCAGTGAATCCATGTTTGAAGGATGAAAAACAATGCTATGAATAATCCACCTCACCTTCCTCCTGTCTGGATTAAGGAATGGACACCTGTGTCATTTTGACATTCTCACCAATTTGGTAAATCCATCAATGCACAAAAGGCACTCAGGAGAAATCAGGCTTGGTAAGGATGCTCAGAGCATGGAATGATGCAGACACAGCCTGTGTGGTGGGTGGACCACATCCAAGGCCTTGCATTCCCTGACAGGGCGCAGGGAAGAGACCCTGCTGGGCTACAGAGCGTGGGTTCTCGCCTGGGATGCTTACCTGTGAAAGGCTGCCAGGCACAGGCTGTACCCGTCCTGTCCTCAGCCCCGCCCTCTGCCATCATGCCTTAGTCTTGAGAATACAACCTCACTGGTGCTGGCATGGGAACACAAGTAGCTCAGATAATGGCCATTAAAAAGAATGCAAAACCAAACAAAAGCAGGAGAGTGGGCAGAGTGTAGAACTAATGAAGCCTAAAGAATCGGGGTAAACGTACAGAAAAAGCGAAACAGAACGGCAGGGAGGTTCTCCGAGCGACACCGGATGGTGCGGGGTGTCCTGGGTAGCACAGGAACCCTCACGTGTGCTTCAGGCCCCGGTTCTGGGGAAGTGCACCGTGCGGTGTTGTGGGGGCGTTAGTGGGAGCATCACCCCTCTCTCTGCACACAGCTCCCTAGGGCAGGATT